ATCTGTGTTTTCGTGGTTCGCGTCCTGTACCTGACAGAATATCGGTGGCTCGGTGATTAGTGTGTTGGATTGTGAATCTGTGTTTCCTTGATTCGCTTCCCGTACCTAACAGAATATCGGTGATTAGGGTGTTGCACTGTGGATCTGTGTTTCCGTGGTTCACGTCCTGTGTCTGACAAAAAAAAAGCACTCTGCACTTTAGGACAGTAGACGCATTATAAGTGACGTTCAAATCCAACTGTTCGGTCTAATAAGAGTTAGTTAACTAGCTATATTCTATCAATTGGCGCAGCTTTGTACATACTCAAACTAACTTTATATTCAACTTGTTTTACTCCCTTCTCCTTTCTTATTCCATTCAAAACTGTTATCACAACACATGTAGAATTGCTATACCATAGGTAAGATTTTTGTTTTTACTCCTTTAAATATGATATTGAATAAACGAAATACCTAACCATATATGAGTCAGATGTATCTTTAGTATTCAAGATTATATAATTATAGCAAATATTTCAATGCAGTTACGGTTAATACAGTTTGCATATACACTTGGTAAGATGTATATGTTTATTATTATAATTATAATGACTCCAGTATAAAGCTACTAATATTACTTACATTCGGAAAACCATAAAACATTCTAAGTCTTTAATGATATATCCATAGCTGTACAAAAAAACTGTTCATAAGTCATTTTCACACATCGATAGAAGATATTTTATACCTCTAGTGTGGTTCCGAAGCCGTATACTGTGTGTTTTTCACCCTTTTAGTTAAATAAAAACTTTTATATTATGGCATTTTTCACAGTTTCCCTTTTTAGACGCGGTGAGGCGCTTAAATAAGTTACTCAACTCTCACTTTTTCTATGAAAGAACTGTGAAGTGTGTAAGCAATTACCTGATTTTCTTAAAGGAATAACAATTCTGTATGTAGGCAGGAGAGAAAACTGAGTTATACTTGTTGACTTATCAGATAATGACTTCTAACGGCCACACCCTTTGTCAGTACACGAGCCACTAGCTGCCTGTAGTGCCGAGTGTAGATTGTATCCTTCCCTGTACTAATTCACAGTTTGTTATATTTAAGGGGGGGTAGATTTTGTAAGTTTTATGTATGTTTTTAACCTTTTAATTTATTAAGCAGACACAGAGCAGGTTTTTGTGGAAGTTCAATATTGATAGTAATTTCAGTTTAAGGTTAAGCATCTTTTAATCGACTCATTTTTCGGAAAACGTAACTTAATGATAAAACAAAACAGGAACGTGATAATAGGAAGCATTTCGGGATCATCAAATTTCCATCATCAGTAATCTAGAGGTACAAAATAAACAAACAATATTTGTAATATCACGTGTTAGAATTTTAGCATACTTCGTTTATATCGATTTTATTTAACTTGGGCTTGTTGTCATTTATGGTACGTTTATTTGGTATTTAGTTTAATTTACAGGGGGGAGCACATGGCCTGACAAGAGCTGTTATTTTAATAGGCTTCATTTAGCTCTTGTCAGTTCAACAGTATAACACATGATTACTTGCCCTTATTGTTGTATTCTATTGCATTGTATTATTTTATAATGTACCTTGTATTTTTGGCATTAAATATTTGTTTTGGATTTAAAGTCTTGTCTTTTCCTCATGCAAACTAACTGAACGAAGAGAAACACATCCCCGAGATCCGAAAACCTTCCATGAGCAGGCTTAATGATCTAGTCAGAGTAAATACGCGAGATGATACGTATCTGTTACATCATTAAAGTTATGACTGTTATATTGTTCACACGCCTTTTGATAAATTTCCAGATAACTCTCTTCAGAATCCAGTGGCATAACTTAACACTTGGTAAGTTAAGTTAGGCATAGTTAGGAAATTATTTGTTATGT